CGGATACGTGTAATGTATTTCGGCCATCGTTTTTCACAAGCGTGCTCAGATTACCGTACCATTCTATAGGATAATGAAATATTATTCCGAAATTGAAATCGGAGACCAACAAAAGGGGAGAACACATTCTCGAGAATAGTCGATCGAAACAATATCGTTATCAGCTTTTATCAGTAAACATATCCTGTAATGTATGCTCTTATCTAGCATATTCGATCAAGCTGGTTTTTCAATAAAATTCCAAACCATGTTTAATAACAAAAGTCCAAGAACATTTAATAAACAGACTCGAATGAGTGTATTACATACATATGTACATCGTTATATAATATCATTTAATTATATATGCGTTTCTGTTTCATTTGTAATCGTAATTGGTTAACGATTGATTAAGATGAATTTTTTCATAAAAATATCACCTACATTGCTTTGTATACAAACACTGAGAAATTAATATTTAAAATAGAGAAAAGCAGTTTGGATAAAAATGAAAATAAATAACAACGAAATATAGCAAATATTTTTCTTCATTCCCTTTTTTATAATTCCCTTTGTAGTTAGCACTTCGTTGAATTAAAATGAACTTATATTGGCGAATCAATTTCAAATATTATAGTAGTGTGATCGTTTATGGTAGTGTTTCTACTTATATAGTTGCTCGTTTTAATTATAAAATTAATTATCTAAAACGTATTATCTGATTCAAAAATGAGAGATTTCAGCCTCGAAGAAAAATGTAACATTTCTGTAACATAGAGAAACTTTTACCTGTAAGACGGAAAAACTTTTCATTGTATGTTGCAAAATATCCATTTTACGTTGTGCAGTGTAAGCGACAATAATTATAAAATAGCTGTTCTTAATACTAAACAACACGTATCGAATAATAACATATGAATAGATAGATACTCATGTCTTTAATTATAGCAGTGTTTGTTTCTTCCATACATATTTCTATATCTATTTCCACTATTATTTCTACATATTTCTATTTTTTATTCGATTATAATTAATCGAACAGAAAGTATAACAATCGATTGCTATGTTACCTGCAACAACATTTAATCGTCCTTCTAATCTTTCTAATATTTAAAAATATCTTTTATTAAAATAATTAAATTAAAATTAATTAAAGAATCTCTTAAAATTAATTTAAAAAAATGTGATATTAAAAATTATTAATAAGACGTAGTTAGCCTTTCTTTAAAAAAAAAACACTAAACTGTATGAAAAGAATAAGAATATGAATAGTAAGTTGTTGGAATAACAATTTTGTAACTTTTTTGTATTAAAGCTGTTAGAGAAAAAGAATATCCAGTGTAAGTATTCTTTACATCATATTTGAATTGACATTTTTAATATTAAATGATCATTTTACTCTGTCGTCATTTATCCTGCGTTGTTTTTTCTTACATAAATATGAAAGCACAAGAAGATATAAAATATTAAAAATAAAAGCAAAGTGAAAATATTAAAAATAAATGTGATATTAAAAATGACAATTAAACGAAATTGTTAAATACTTATGTATAATCTATTATCATAATGTTAATGATTCATTTTGTCTTGAGACGAATAGAATAATACATTGTAACACTTATTTACTAGAATGTTTATTAAGTAATGTGTTCTAAACACCATATACATGATCTAACGAAATCTAACGAAATAAAAATCTACTAGTCTGAAAATAGAAACGTGTCGTGCTTAAAAATTTTCAATTAGTAGAATACAAGAAGTGTAGAACTTTCCTTTTAGAATTTTTAATGTTATTCAATGATCACTTCGTTATGATCATTTTTCCTCATTTTGACGATGTACTCTTGATATCTATACATTATTAGCCGATTGTCCACGATTTAATTTCTATGTATTTAAACTTTATTTAAGTTGAGCATGGATTTTGGCGGCCCTATTAAAAATAGATGAAAACGATAAACGGAAATCATTTTTTGTTTTCCAGTTTGTTTCATTTATATCTAAATATTTATTTTTTAATTTTAAAAATTACTGTTTTGTTTTCAGCTATATATGATATTCTGGAATCATAAAGTCACTGTTAAATATTTTGTTCTTTTTCTATTCTTCTCTAGACTTAAGAAAAAAATCTATCTTAAGAAAAAATGGTCGCAACATTTTTCTTTCAATTAAAGAAAGAAAATAAAAAATTGTAATGATTCGCTTATCTGGTAATCCCAATCAATAGTAACGGAAAATAATTTGTCTTACTTGAAACTGCATAAATTTTTGAAAAATAATCCATTATTTGTTGTAAGTACTTATTAAAGATAATTAAAATACGGTTATTATTTAACAAATGTTTTCATTAAAGATACTCTAATATCGCTAGTTATTCCATTTATAAAAACGATGAAGATGTGTGTGTGTGTGTGTGTGTATATATATATATATATATATATCCTTTTATTTTTCTTTACTTTGTGAACTATAGAACAGATTAGGAAGTTACACAAACGCTCAATATTCTGATGCTATTTATACATCTGTTGACAAGATTAAAACAAGATCGGATTACTGACAACCATAATGTCGTTCTAGGTTTAAATAAATTAAATGTACAAATTAAGTGAATATTAAATTATGTCAGATCAACAATTTATTAGAAACAACGAAATCTCCGTTTTGCTTGTTTGTCCATATATGTACAATATATAGATATAAAGATATAAAGATACTAATACAATTGATGGATTAACAATTAATAAATTAATGGATCGATTTAAAGAAAAAAGACATGTTATATTATTCTCTTTCATAGAGAGGAAATTTGTGAATACTTACAATCATCGATTTGCACTTGAACTTGATCGAATTAGAAATCTTCCGTTTCTTCGAAGTCTTTTGACATATTGTTGATGGCTGCTTTAAGGACGATTAGTTCGTAACCTTCAGGATTTGATGTCCTTATTTGCGTTTCATTTTGTAATAATAATTCCTGAAGGGTATTATTTCCATTACATTCTTTATTATTTCGAAATCCTCCGCTAGTTTTTGTAGTGCAATTGTTGATCGTTTTCGAAAAACATGGGAGTACCTTTAAAAAATTTCAAACTGATTTTATTGTGAAATTTTGATAGTATGTAAAATATATGTATATCGATAAGTAGATATTTAAATTAACTCATGGAAAATATTAAAAAAGGAAACACACGGATATCTTATACACGGTGACATATTTTATTCTACACTCACTTAGTTTCAAATCGATAAAAATGTACAATATT